GATGAAACAATATAATGACAAAATTTATAGATAATTTATGCAGAATTTGCGCTTTTTTATAATATGAATGAATAAGCATATAATTGTTGAATTTTTGCAAAATAGAAGTTTCCTAAGAAGGAATGAATTAGTGGCATTGGTATTATTGTTCAAGAAAATAATGAAAATTAGTGCTAAAACTAAATCAAATTAGTAAAGTTTGGTAAGGAAGAATGAATTAGTGGCATCAAAATTATCCTTTAAGAAGGAAGAAAAGCAAAAAAAAAAGACAACATTTGCACGCAGCTTGCACACAAGATGCGCCTTTTATAATATGCAAGAATAAGCATATAATAGTGAAATTTCGCTAAAAATGTATTCCTAAGAAGGAAAGAATTAGTGACATTGGTATTACCACTAAAGAAGAAAGGAAATGAAATAAAACTTAAACAAAATCAACATAATGAAGTTTTCCTACAAAAAGTAATTTAGTGTCATTACTTTACCCATTATTAAATAATAAAATGAAAAATAATAAAACAAAATATAACAAAATTTGTAAACAGTTTACGCAGAAATTCCACATTTTTATAATGTGCAACAAGAATATAATAGCGGATTATCAAAATAAAACGGAAGTTTCCTAAGAAGAAACAAAAATTTGGCATGAGTATATTCATTCAAAAGAAAGGAAATAAAAGATGTCAAAATACTAAAATTTTCAATAATGCATGAATTAGTGGTTTTGCTATTACTCTTTAATAAAAACACAAAATTAAAACAAAATCACAATAATAACGTCTTCTAAAGAAGAATGAATTAGTGAAATTGGTATTAACCTTTAAAAAGAAATAAATATAAAACAAAACTAAGGCAAAATCAAAATAATGAAGTTTTTTAATAAAGAATAAATAAGTGGCATTAGTATTACACATCAAAAAAGGAGAAAATAATAAATATAAACTAAAAAATTGCACATAATATTAAAAAATGTTGTTTGCAAAAATATGCAAGAATAAATATATAATAGTGGAGTTTTTGCAAAAATAATTCCCAAGAAGGAATGAATTAGTGGCACTGGTTTTACCCTCGAAGAAGAAAGGAAAGGAAATAACAATTAAAAAATTAAGATAAGAAACAATTAATTAGTAGCAATACGTGCCCTTGAAAGTAGAAAGATGCACACAATTTTGCTCTAAAATTGCACTTTTTGTAGTATGCAAATAATAGTAGTGTAATTTTTGCAAATATTGCATAGTATTTATGTGTATACATTTACGCTCACCCAACTTAAAAAATAGCCACAGAAGAAAAGAAAAATAACTAACAAAGAAAAACAAAAAATAAGCAAAAACAGAAGAAAAATGAACAACACAAACCAGGAAAATTAAGCCCAGCACAAAGAAAAATTGAGATCACAAGGCCACAATTTTTTTGAGACAACCCAATCCCACAACAAACGACACAAGAAATAAACTTATGTTTTTGACCCAGTTAGTGGGCTTCGGCCCATTTGAAAATCGACTGGCCCAAATATGGGGTCAGTCAAAAAAAGTCCGGCCAACAAACAGCACAAGCCAGGAAAAAATGCAGCACAAATATCAGAGCAAAATCAATGGCCAATAAATCGATTGAGCCAAATTAAAAATTCAGGCAACTTACAAGTAGCTAAAGTGAACTAAAAAAAATACTAGCAAAGGGCATTATTCACTTTTTAGTTAACTTGTGAACATTCACTATATGGCAAACTTGAAATGATAGGCTTGTACTGTACTAATGTCACTTTTGAGAGGCGCCAAAGCTAGATTTGTCTCTATGTATAAAGGGCTAAACAGAAAGCCAGCTAGTGCTCATGAGATAGAAATTGATGACACTGAACACATCAATCAAACCCCCACGCACGCGTCCATTCTTAAAATAGTGGCTAGCAAACCACGTACATACACTTACATCCATCCTTGAGTTTATCTTGAGAATAAAGCAGCCATCCTTGAAACGCTTTGCATCACGAGAGAAGCACACAACAGAAAGCACGAGTGAGCGGCATGCAGCGGGGGAAAGCATCCAAAATGGAAAGCTGCATGCGGATGCAGATGCAGCTATCTCTTCCTGGCATCGTTTCTGGTCCAGACACCAGACTGTTCACGCGCCCCTCACACCCCCAAGGCTGTCGTGCATGGCCGAAGAGGTTTAGCAAGGGAAACATTGCAGAGACGACGAGTACTAGGTGTACGTGCATCCAGTCTTTGCGTGGATTGGAGTGGCATGCATCGAGCCCTTTTTAAGTTTTTAGCACGAGACTGCTTGTCCGCTTGGCTTGAGCGCGCCTAGAGACAAAAGTTGTTTCAGCAAAACAATGGACATTTACACACTGTAGAAAGTCACTTTGAACGTTAACGTTACCTATCGGTAACAACCTCACCATCCATTAGTTGCTTTAAGATTCGGGTTGTAGACATCTAATATTCGCCCCTTTTTTGCCATACAAATTGAATATCATACCTAATACAACTATTGGCCCCCACCATGTCCTTGATATGGTAGGAAAAGCATTGATGGCAGCACGTGACAGTTCACTCTCTCTCTTCTCTCATGCATAAACCCACCCTTTTATTTCACATAGGCTATATTAAATTGATTTTAGCAGTTCAACTATAAGTTAGTTTTCGAAATAATTTATATATTTGAACCCTGGCTCCAAGACCTTTAGAACTAGACCAATCTTTGATACATTTTGAACAATTTTAAATTTCAACATTTCACATTTTATATGTGAAACAAACCCATTTCACTAGAAAAATATGCAAAAATCTTTTTCAATAGAAATATGTGATACCAACTTATTTCATTAGAAACCTATATATATTAACCCAAATATGAAACTAAGATGACAAATTGTGAAACAAATTATTTAGAAATGTGAAACAGTTTATTTCAAAAGAGTGAAACATGTTATTTGGAAAATGTGCAATTGAAAAAGATGTATTTTTTTGTGAAATAACCCAGTGAAAAGTGAAATGTAGGTTCTCAATTCTGAATAGCAATCAGAGAAAATGAAATTACAATGCATCTTTGTGAATTTGTTTATTTGAAAATGTGAAACAATTTATTTCAAAAGAGTGAAATAGTTTATTTTAGAAATGTGCATTGAAATAGATGTATTGTGTGAAGCTACCTAGTGAAAAGTGAAATATAGAATGTAAACTTGTGAAACTGATTATTTGGAAATGTGTAACCATCTTTTTCAGAAGAATGAAATATGTTACTTCAAAAATGTGAAATTGAAATAGATGTGATTAATGTGAAACAAGACAGTGAAAAGTGAAATATATGTTTTGAATTGTGAAATGTAGGTTCTAAGTAAAATAGTAACCACATAAGCCAAATTATAGTGTGTTAATGTGAAACTGATTATTTGGAAATGTGAAATAGTTTTATTATAAAAAGTGAAATGGGTTATTTGAGAAATGTGCATTTGAAATAGATGTTATTTTTTGTAAAACAAGCCAGTGAAAAGTAATATGTAGGTTCTGAATTGTGAAATAGTAACTACATAAAGTGAAATTGTAATTTAGCATTGTGAAACTGATTATTTTGAAATGTGAAATGTACGTTCAAATTTAAATGTTGTTAAGAAACATCCAAAACTGGTCTCATTTTAAAGGTTATGGAACAAGGAGTTCAAATATAAAAAATGTTTCAAAAATGGATATATGACCTAAAAGATATGGATGTTTTAAACTAGCTAAAGTTAAATAAAAGGCTGAATTTATTGCATGGGAGAAGAGAGAGATTGGGTCTGGCACATTGCTCTTAGTTCTGCGTGTAAAATCCAGTGATGGGGTAGCTCCTGAAATACCAATATCTTATAAGTAAAGAAAAGTTTTTTATACAATACATATGTCAATATACGGTGCAAGGTGTCGCTAGCTGACTCGCTAGGCAGGTGCCGGTAGGTATCGGCACCGCTCAATTTTTCACTTTAATACATACTAGCATCCCCCGGATTGTAGCATTTTACCACAAAAATACTAGCAAAGGGCATTACTCACTTTTTAGCTAACTTGTGAACATTCACTATATAGAAAATTCCAAATGATAGGTTTGTCACTCTTGAGAGGGCGCCAAAGTTGGATTTGTCTCCACATATAAAGGGCTAAACAGAAAGCCAGCTGGTGCTTATGAGATAGAAACTGATCACAGAACGCATGGATCAAACCCCTTGCATGCGTACCTTCTCAAAATAGTGGCTAGCAAACCACGGACACATACATCCATCCTTGAGTTTATCTTAGGATGAAACATCCATCCTTGAGCATCACGGAAAAATACACAAACAGAAAGCGCGAGTGAACGGCTGTATGCAGCGGAAAGCATCCAAAATGGAAAGCTGTATCCTGTATGTATGTATGCAGCCATCTCTTCCCGGCGTCGTTTCTGGCCCAGACGGCTCACACACACGCCCCTCGCACCCTGAAGGCTGCTGTGCAGTACACGTTGAGAGGCACTCTACGGTCCATAGATAAGCATGCATGCGTGCATGCATGGCCGGAGAAGCAAGGGAAGAACGCTGCAGAGACGGTGAGCACCAGGACCAGGTGTAGGTGCAACCAGTCTTGCGTGAATTAGGGTGGCACGCATCCAGACCTTTTTAAGATTTTAATTAACACGAGGGCCGTTTGTGTGCTTGGCTCAAGCGCGCGTGGGGACAAAAGCTGTTTCAGCAAAGCAATGGACAGATACGTGCTGCTAAGGCTGAAGCAACACGGGAGTTCATACTGGCATGGCATCCCCTGGGTCCTATATAAAGGCCACCCTCCTCGTGTCCATCTTCCCACTCATCGCAACCCACCTCTGGCTTCCAAGTCTATACATAATATAGGGACCGAGCTTGCGGTTTTGCCAAGGTAACACATCTAGTATCTGCTTAGCTTGGTTCTTCTTACAGATACTCCTAAGATTGAGCATTAACTGATCGATTCGATGGTACGTGCGTGCATGCAAACACAAAACGCAGGGTGATGGGGACCGAGCAAGGGAAGGAAGGAACGGGAGCGGGGGAGGGGCGCGTGGAGGTGCGCACGGGGCCGAGGCCAGCGCTGCCGGCGCCGCAGCAGCGGGCGGTGGACGGGTTCTGGAGGGAGCGGCAGGAGGAGATGGAGGCGACGGCGGACTTCAACGACCGCATACTGCCCATGGCCCGCCTCAAGAGGCTCATCCGCGCCGAGGAGGACGGCATGATGATCGCCGCCGACACGCCGGCGTACCTGGCCAAGCTCTGCGAGCTCTTCGTGCAGGAGCTCGCCGTGCGCGCCTGGGCGTGCGCCCAATCCCACCACCGCCGCATCATACTGGAATCGGACATCGCCGAGGCCATCGCCTTCACCCAGTCGTACGACTTCCTCGCCACCGTGCTCCTCGAGCACCAACGGGAGGCGCGGCTGGCCGGCCGTGCTGCTATCCCGACAACGGTTCCGGTGACGGCGGCGAGGGCAAGGCTCATCACCAGGAAGCGCCACATGCCGGACCCGAATCCTCCACGGCCGGTGCATGGGGTGCGGAGAATTCGTCCTCGTGCGCTTCCTATCCCGCCGCCGTCGGACTTTCGCTACGTGCCGGTTCCATTTCCGTTCACCTCGGCGCCGATAGGAGCCGCAGCGATGGCGGAGGGGCTGATGATTCTCCCACCCATCAACCACGCGACTACCGAGCGCGTGTTCTTCCTGGACAGGAACAGCGGCACTGACTTCGCAGGTGAAAACTCTGCTGCTGAAACTATAGCATCTCCGCCTCCTCCGGCAGGGCCTGCAGGAGCAGTGGCGCTGCCCACTGTCCATCCTGCTGCTTACTACTTGTGCGCTTACCCGGTGACCAACGACGTTGAGGCCTTTGCCGTTGGCAACACTGATCCTGATGTCATCCCACCGGAGATTGTAGTGGGAGACGTCGCCATCCCACCGGAGATTATAGAGGGAAACGTCGCCGATGGCAACGGCGACGGCGGACAGCAGCAGCAGCAGAGCGAAAACCTTGGTGGTAATGGTGAGAGTGTGGTGGTGTCGCAAAGCAATGGTGTGCAGGAAGATGGTGCAGATGGGATGTTTCTGAAGGAGATCCTCATGGATGAAGACCTGATGTTTCCCGACGCTGAGCTTTTTCCGTTGGTGGGCGCTGCACCTGGTCCAGAGGATTTCATCGTCGACCAAGATGTTCTCGACGACGTCTTCGCCAACCCGAGCAGCAGCGCAAGCAGCGACTGAACCGAAAGAAGATCAGAGCGGGACGCAGCATCGGTTGATTCATCTATCGTCTCTCGACCTGCTACTCTATGCTAGCCGCTATATCGGTTAATAAATTTGGGAATAAGTTTGTGTTCGTGCGTGTGACATGGACTGTATGGTTCGCCCTGAATTTATCGTATTGCAATATATAGCCGTGATTGTGTGTACTCCTCAAAACACTCGAGTATCTCCGGCAGTTTGGCCCCCCATCGTACCCAGGGAAGGCCTTTGTGCGTTTGCGCCGGCGTTTTATTCGGCTTGGGAGGCACATGTTTCCAGCCGCGCTCCCAGGTTTCGGCCCCAAACGCACAAAAATTTAAAGTTCTCTTTTTCGCTACCAAAAAGACACATGTTCAGCGATCATGCCAAAGGTCGGCGATTGAACATAGCCAAAGTCGGACGATCAAAAGGGCAGGAACCATAGACATGGAATTCAAATGGCAGGCTACTCTACCATAGGGGTGGGAGAGCTCGGCGTAGGCGTTGTGGGCGTAGTTGCAGTGCTCGGCGTAGGCGTGGGCGCAGTTGCAGTGCTCAGTGTTGGCGTGGCAGTGGTCGCCGCCGGTCCTGGCATCTAGTTCAAGATGAGGTCGCGCTCCGCCAGGTACCACGTCTTCACCTGCTGGTCCATCGTCGCCATGTCTGCTCCCATCAGGAACGCCAGGTCGGTGTTCCTCTTCTTCGCGACGATGTTGGTCCTGAGAAGGTCGAGCTTGACGTCCTGCTTCGTCATCAATGCCGACCACCTCGCCTCGGACTTCTCCTCCCTCTTGGCGGTGTGGCTCCTGGCATCGGCGATGCACTATTCTATCGACGACTGCAGCCGTTCGACAACGGGCGCCGAGTCCCTCGCCGCCATGGCTTTCTTGTTGCCATCAGGACGCCCTTCTGCCGCCGCCGAGACAGGCGTGTCCGGGTTGCAGACTGTTGGGTAACGCAGTAATTTCAAAAAAAAATCCTACGCACATGCAAGATCCATCTAGGTGATGCATAGCAACGAGAGTGGAGAGTGTTGTCCACGTACCCTCGTAGACCGAAAGCGGAAGCGTTATGACAGCACGATTGATGTAGTCGTATGTCTTCACGATCCGACCGATCCTAACACCGAAGGTATGGCACCTCCGCGATCTGCACACGTTCAGCTCGGTGACGTCCCACGAGCTCTAGATCCAACTGAGGTCGAGGGAGAGTTTTGTCAGCACGACGGCGTGATGACGGTGATGATGAAGTTACCGTCGCAGGGCTTCGCCTAAGCACTACAACGATATGACCGAGGTGGAAATCTGTGGAGGGGGGCACTGCACACGGCTAAACAATCAATTTGTGTGTCTATGGGGTGCGCCCTCCCCCGTATATAAAGTAGGGGAGGAGGGGAGGACCGGCCCTCTCATGGCGCGCCCAAGGGGGAAGTCCTACTCCCGGTGGGAGTAGGATTCTCTCCCTTCCCTAGTTGGAGTAGGAGAAGAAGGAAGAGGGAGAGAGAGGGAAGGAAAGGGGGGCTACCCACCCAATTCGGATTGGGCTTGGGGGGGGGGGCGCCCTCCACCTGGCCGCCCCCTCCTCTCTCCCACTAAGGCCCAATAAGGCCCATTGACTCCCTGGGGGGTTCCGGTAACCCCCCGGTACTCCAGTAAATGCTCGAACTCACCCGAAACCATTCCGATGTCCAAACATAGCATTCCAATATATCGATCTTTATGTCTCGACCATTTCGAGACTCCTCGTCATGTCCGTGATCACATCCAGGACTCCGAACAACCTTCGGTACATCAAAACACATAAACTCATAATACCGATCGTCATCGAACGTTAAGCGTGCGGACCCTACGGGTTCGAGAACTATGTAGACATGACCGAGACTCATCTCCGGTTAATAACCAATAGCGGAACCTGGATGCTCATATTGGCTCCTACATATTCTACAAAGATCTTTATCGGTCAAACCGCATAACAACATACGTTGTTCCCTTTGTCATCGGTATGTTATTTGTCCGAGATTCGATCGTCGGTATCTCAATACCTAGTTCAATCTCGTTACCGGCAAGTCTCTTTACTCATTCCATAATGCATCATCTTGTAACTAACTCATTAGTCACATGGCTTGCAAGGCCTATAGTAATGTGCATTACCGAGAGGGCCCAGAGATACCTCTATGACAATCGGAGTGACAAATCCTAATCTTGATATATGCCAACTCAACAGACACCATCAGAAACACATGTACAGCATCTTTATAGTCACCCAGTTACGTTGTGACGTTTGATAGCACACTAGGTGTTCCTCCGGTATTCGGGAGTTGCATAATCTCATAGTCATAGGAACATGTATAAGTTATGAAGAAAGCAATAGCAATAAACTAAACGATCATAGTGCTAAGCTAACGGATGGGTCAAGTCAATCACATCATTCTCTAATGATGTGATCCCGTTCATCAAATGACAACTCTTTGCCCATGGCTAGGAAACTTAACCATCTTTGATTAACGAGCTAGTTACTAGTGACACTCTATTTGTTTATGTATTCACACATGTACTAAGTTTCCGGTTAATACAATTCTAGCATGAATAATAAACATTTATTATGGTATAAGGAAATATAAATAACAACTTTATTATTGCCTCTAGGGCATATTTCCTTCAGTCTCCCACTTGCACTAGATTCAATAATCTAGATTACATTGTAATAATTCTAACACCCATGGAGTCTTGGTGGTGATCATGTTTTGCTCGTGAGAGAGGCTTAGTCAACGGGTCTGCAACATTTAGATCCATATGTATCTTGCAAATCTTTATGTCTCCCTCCTTGACTTGGTCGCAGATGGAATTGAAGCGTCTCTTGATGTGTTTGGTTCTCTTGTGAAATCTGGATTCCTTTGCCAAGGTAATTGCACCAGTATTGTCACAAAAGATTTTCGTTGGACCTGATGCACTAGGTATGAAACCTAGATCGGATATGAACTCCTTCATTTGCTGCTTCCGAAGCAGCTATGTACTCCGCTTCACACGTAGATCCCGCCACGACGCTTTGCTTGGAACTGCACCAACTGAGAGATCCACCATTCAATAAAAATACGTATCCGGTTTGTGACTTAGAGTCATCCGGATCAGTGTCAAAGCTTGCATCAACGTAACCGTTTACGACAAGCTCTTTGTCACCTCCATAAACGAGAAACATATCCTTAGTCCTTTTCAAGTACTTCAGGATGTTCTTGACCGTTGTCCAGTGATCCACTCCTGGATTACTTTGGTACCTCCCTGCTAAACTAATAGCAAGGCACACATCAGGTCTGGTACACAACATTGCATACAGGATAGAACCTATGGCTGAAGCATAGGGAATGATTTTCATTTTCTCTCTATCTTCTGCAGTGGTCGGGCATTGAGTCTGACTCAACTTCACACCTTGTAATACACGCAAGAACCCTTTCTTTGCTTGATCCATTTTGAACTTCTTCAAAACTTTATCATGCTATGTGCTTTGTGAAAGTCCAATTAGGCGTCTTGATCTATCTCTATAAATCTTGATGCCCAATATATAAGCAGCTTCACCGAGGTCTTTCATTGAAAAATTCTTATTCAAGTATCCTTTTATACTATTCAGAAATTCAGTATCATTTCCGATCAACAATATGTCATCCACATATAATATTAGAAATGCTACAGAGCTCCCACTCACTTTCTTGTAAATACAGGCTTCTCCAAAAGTCTGTATAAAACCATATGCTTTGATCACACTATCAAAGCGTATATTCCAACTCCGAGAGGCTTGCACCAGTCCATAAATGGATCGCTGGAACTTCCATACTTTGTTAGCACCTTTTGGATCGACAAAACCTTCTGGTTGCATCATATACAACTCTTCTTTAAGATATCCATTAAGGAATGCAGTTTTGACATCCATTTGCCAAATTTCATAATCATAAAATGCGGCAATTGCTAACATGATTCAGACGGACTTAAGCATCGCTACGGGTGAGAAGGTCTCATCGTAGTCAACTCCTTGAACTTGTCGAAAACCTTTCGCAACAAGTCGAGCTTTGTAGATAGTAACATTACCGTCAGCGTCAGTCTTCTTCTTGAAGATCCATTTATTCTTTATGGCTTGCCGATCATCGGGCAAGTCAACCAAAGTCCACACTTTGTTCTCATACATGGATCCCATCTCAGATTTCATGGCCTCATGCCATTTTGCGAAATCTGGGCTCATCATTGCTTCCTCATAGTTTGTAGGTTCGTCATGGTCAAGTAACATGACCTCTAGAACAGGATTACCGTACCACTCTGGTGCGGATCTTACTCTGGTTGACCTACGATGTTCGGTAGTAACTTGATCAGAAGTTTCATGATCATCATCATTAGCTTCCTCACTTACTGGTGTAGGAATCACTCGAACTGATTTCTGTGATGTACTACTTTCCAATTCGGGAGCAGGTACAATTACCTCATCAAGTTCTACTTTCCTCCCACTCACTTCTTTCGAAAGAAACTCCTTCTCTAGAAAGGATCCATTCTTAGCAACGAATATCTTACCTTCGGATCTGTGATAGAAGGTGTACCCAACAGTTTCTTTTGGGTATCCTATGAAGACACATTTCTCCTATTTGGGTTCGAGCTTATCAAGTTGAAGCTTTTTCACATAAGCATTGTAGCCCCAAACTTTGAGAAACGATAACTTGGGTTTCTTGCACAACCACAGTTCATATGGTGTCGTCTCAATGGATTTAGATGGTGCCCTATTTAACGTGAATGCAGCCATCTCTAAAGCATAACCCCAAAACGTTAGCATTAAATCAGTGAGACACATCATAGATCACACCATATCTAATAAAGTATGATTACGATGTTCGGACACACCATTACGTTGTGGTGTTCCGGGTGGCGTGAGTTGCGAAACTATTCCGCATTGTTTCAAATGAAGACCAAACTCGTAACTCAAATATTCTCCTTCACGATCAGATCGTAGAAACTTTATTTTCTTGT